TTGAAATGCAAGTTCATATGCCTCAGGTTAAGAACCCCTGACCTAGACAGAAGCAGGGCCTGGGCAGTGGAGTGAGAAGCAGATTGCCAGCCCAACCTGGAAGCAGGAACTTCTAGTGGTGACAGCCTCCAAGTAGACAGACAGATAGACAGCTGCCATGGTTTGCCCTCTAGTAAAGGCAGCTTCTGCTCCTGGCAAGTCCCTGAGTCTTCTGCATCACAATTTCACCTACTAAGAGGTAGAGGAAGAGTCCAGGAGAGCTGTCATGCCAGACCTGATGCTGACTAGCAAAAAAGTTCTTGCTGGCTGGAGGGGGAAGGACCCACACTTGAGTAGCCAAAGACTCTGGAGCCCAGGGTTGCTAGTCACCCCAGATTTGGCAGGCTCGATCTCAAAGAGGTCAGAAAAAGAAGAGGTCAGATCCAGCAGTTTAACATTAGAGAAGGAAAGGCAGCCCATGTGACGTGTGTGTGTGTGTGTGTGTGTGTGTGTGTGTGTGTGTACATAGAGAGAGGCACCTAAATGGCTCAGTGGATAGAGCTCTGGTCCTGGAGCCAGGAAGATCTGAGTTCAGATCCGGCCTCAGACACCAGCTGTGTCTAGCTAACCTAGCTGTGCAACCCTGGGCAAGTCACTTAACCTCTGTTTGCCTTGATCTGCTGGAGAAGGAAATGGCAAAGCACTCCAATATCTTTGCCAAGAATCCCCCATATGGGGTCATAAAGAGGCTAATATGACTGAATAAGAGAACAACAACAAACGTGCACATATGTATGTATGTGTGTACACATATGTGTGTGTATTATACATACATGTGTTCGTTGGTGAGTCATTTCAGTTATGTCTGACTCTTTATGACTCTATTTAGGGTTTTCTTGCCAAACATACTGGAGTGGTTTGCCATTTCCTTCTCCAGCTTATTTTACCAATGAGGAAACTGAGGCAAACAGGGTTAAGGGACTTGCCTAGGATCACACAGCTAGGAAGTGGCTGAGACCAGATTTGAACTCAGGAAAATGAGTCTTCCTGACTCCAGGCTCAGCATTCTATCCATTGTGTCACTTAGCTGCCCAACACATATGTATATTCCTGTAATTATGTGTATGCTTGTATTCATGTATTTAGATGTATTTGTGTGCAGACACGCATGTGTTGTATACGTGTATATGTACATGTATGTGTATGTATTTATATCCGTGTGTATGTCTCTGTATTGTAAATCTGCATCGATCTACATGTTGTAGATATATGTATATTATAGATTGTATATTTATGTGTATGGATATGCATAAATGATGCATACATTATATATATGTGCATGTGTCATTATATTGATGTGTAAGTATTGCATATATACGGTAATACATGTATGTATATATTGTGTGCATATGCATGCACATATATGTGTTATGTGTATATATCTGTATATATCTCTATGTATATGTGTATATATGTATATATTTTTTTTCTTTAGTTCTGTTAGGACAAGTCAAGCTTGAAAGCAAACCAGGGTCAGGACAGGTGGGGAGGACAATGGAAAAAGCAGTTTGAGAAGGCTGTGCTGCTAAACACTTAGTCTGCTTGCTTTTTCTTTTAAGGAGAGGCTCTTTGGATGGAGAAGGATAAAATAATATATTTACGAGTGAGTGGATAGCCCAGAATAGTGAGGAGAAGGTCAGGTAATTTCCCCCTCCCTTAGTAAGTTCAGGTCACTGAGCCCTGATAAAAGCATCCAAGTGTAGGGAATTAGAGGCCCATCAGATGGCCACCTCCTCCAGGGGACGTTTGACTGGTCTTGAAGAATAGGAGATCCATTCGTGATGGGAGAAGGGAAAATGCCCATCAAATGCCTCCTCAGCCGCACGCTATGAAACACATTTTTCAGTGACTGGGATAAGGGTGTACGTAACAGCTTTGCTAAGCCTCCTGATGCCACCAGCTGGAAGCAGAGCTCAGATATTGGACTGCTGAGTCTAGATTCAAATAGGTCTTGGCAAGCAATAATGATGCCCGATTGTTGAGTTATAGAGGAGAAAAGGACAAAATTACCCTTGGGGCCCAAAAGGCAGACCCACATGTAGATGTCTTCCTCAGGCTTCCCCCGGGCCCACTGCTCTCTCTTCCTCCTCTCTGCCTTTTGGCTGGCCAGCTTCCTTCAAGTATTGGCTGAATCCCGTATGGTTCAAGAAGCCTTTCCTGATCCCCTCCAAGCTAACTCTTTCTTCTGAAATTATCTCCAATTGGTCCTGTCTTGGTTGTGTGTGGTTGTTTTCATGTTGTTTCCCCCACTAGAGGGTGAGCTTTTTGAGGGCAGGGAAAGTTTCTTGCCTTCTTTGGTATTCCCAGTGGTTATATGGCACACAGTAAGCGCTTAATAAATGCTGCTGATACTCTCATGGCAAAGGGGCCAACTGTTCACACTTAGTGCCAACCAGTTTCAACCCACAGGGCCAGGTGGCCAACCTAGCTAGCACAGACCCTGAGGGAGAAGCACGGCCCATTTCCTGCTGCTGACCACTTCAGGAGGCTTCCTGTCAGCAGCACTGGCCCTCCTGCGACAACATCCAGCTCATCAGTCTTTCCTGAAATTTAGCTCGAGAATTAAAACCACTAATCCTGATGTGGTCTGACTACCCCAGGCTTAAATACCCTCTTAAGACTTTGTAATCTCTCATGGCTACATCCTACTGTTGATTCATTTTGAGTTGTGACCCACTAACTCCCAAGTTCCTTTTCAGACAAGTTATTCTTATGCCACACACTTCTGCCATCTTGCACTAAGAAGCTGGGTTTTTGAAATCTAAGTACAAGTTGTTACAGTTATCACTCAGCTTAAATTGTATACTATTTGGACCAATATTCTAGACTGTCAGTCAGCTGACAAGCATTTATTAAGTGCCTGCTGTGTGCTAGGCACTGTGTTAACTTCTCAGGAAGCAAAGGCAAAAATCCAGTCTCTGTACCCAAACGGCTCCCAGGCTAACAAGGAAGACAACGTGCAAACAACTGGCTTTGTACAAGGTGTACAGATGGAGCAAAGCAGGGAGGGCTGGCTCAGAGGGAAGGCAATAGTGCTTAAAGGTTAAATTTCTTAGCTGCTGCCTTGGTCACCTGTGACTTTTGGTGTCAGGATTTATGATAGCTGGTTCAAAGATGGTTCTTCAGTTTTCTTTTCTTTCATCTGTATCGCTTCAAATGTGTTCTCAGATTTATTGGGTTTGTACATGATAAATACATCATTATTTATGGAATCATCAGCTCTGGATTTTCATCCGAGCCCATACTTTCTCCCTCTGGCTGTCAGCGAATGCCTCCCCTGAATGTCCTGACATCACCCTATACATGCTGAGTCCCTGAGAAGCAGTAGAAGGGGCCTCAGCATCCTCTGGTTCCGCCACCCTCAACCAGCATCCTCCCTCAAACATTCCCAGTGAGCATCCTTCCAGGCTCTGTTTGCAAGCCTCCAATGAAGGGAATGCTCCTCCCCACTTCCTGAAGCAGACCATCGCAATTTTAAATTATCAAGGATTTCTTCCTTAAAACCAGGTCCAAATCTTCCTCCCTGTAACTCCAGCCCCCACACGCAGAGGGCTCTCTGGGCAAGCAGCACCCATTAGACTGCACCTCACCCATGGCACAGCCATTACATGTCACTGACCTTGCTGGCTGGCTCCCAAACCCCTGCTTATCCAGGCAGTTACTGAATCCATTGGGTCCCCTCATGCCCTCCACCTCTTCTATAGGATAAGCATCCCTGCTTTGTCTGTTGTTGTTTTTCCTGGAAAAGCAACTTTTTCTAAATGCATGAGACACAGTGCATGGTGGAAGCTGAGCTGAACTTGCAATCCAGACCCGAGCTAAGGCCCATCTCTTATCTGTTCTTACTGTTTCACTTCCCAGTGCTTGGGGGGTGGGCCTAAGGCTATCTCTCAGAGCTGAGTCACATGCGTTAACACCCAGGACTTTGGCTCAGGGAGTCAGGTGGGCCCTGTGGGGGTCACTGGCCTCTGCGTTGTTCACAGAAGCGCTGAGTACTGGCAATAGGAAGAGGCAAAAGGCAGCCCCTGCCTTCAAGGAGCTCCCAGTCTAATGGAGCAGATAGAATGTACACAACAAATAGACTGGATAAACTGAGGTAATCCAGATAGAAGGCACTGGCATTAAAGAGGGGAGAGGAGGTGAGGCTTTTGCTGTGACTAAAGAAGTCAGGGAGGTCAGAGCAGTGGAGGGAGAGTGTGCCAGGACCTGGGGGCAGCCTGAAAGAATGCCTGGAGGCAGGAGATGAGGGGCTTGTGGGAGGAACAAGCAGGAGGCCCTTGCCCCTAGACTGCAGAGTCCCTCCAGGGAAGGAGGCATAAGACCATTTTGAAGGTAGGAGGGGACCAGTCAGGAAAAACAAAGAGAGGGTTTGACATTTGATCCCATGACAGAGAGGAACAGGTCATTCTCCTCTCCCAGGAGATGGCCTCTCAGATTCAATTAAAAAAACTCTGAAACTTGGAAAGACTTGTATGGACTGATGCTGAGTGAAGTGGGCAGAACCAGGAGAACATGGTACACAGTAACAGCCACGCTGTGTGATGACTGACTTTCACAGACTTGGCTCTTCTCATCAATGCAAGAATCTAAGACATCTCCAAAATAATCACCATGGAAAATGCTGTTCACATCCAGAGAAAGAACTATGGAGTCTGAATGCAGATCGAAGCAGATGATTTGCTCTTTTTTGTTTTTGTTTCTTCTTTCTCTTCGTTTCCCTTTCTGTTCTCATTCTTCTTTCACAACATGACTAACATGGAAATATGTTTAATATGATTGTACATGTATAACCTATATCAGATTGCATGCTGTCCAGGGAGAAAGGGGGAAATTTAGAACTCAGAATCTTATAAAAGTGAATGTTGAAAATCAAAAATCAATCAATCAATCAATCAATCAATAGATAAATAACTTAATACATACATTCATATAGACATACATAAAATGTTTCTGTTCTTCAGGAGGTGAGAGAAGATCGAGGGCGAGGGCGGCTTGACTCCATGGCCCTGCTCATCATGAAACTGGACCAGCTGGACCGAGACATTGAGAATGCCCTCAGTACCAGCCCCTCTCCGGCCAGCTCCCAGGTGCACCAGCCGCAGCAAAGGCCCGTTCCTGTGAGTCGCTTAGTCTCTCTGCTTCCCTTTGGACTGACCTCTGAAGCCCCGCCCTGGCCCAGGGTTCTGGATGCAGGGAACATCTGTTCAGTGGCACTCTTATTGTCACTATGAGCTCACCTGAGCCATCTTACAGGAACCCAGAAGCAGAGCTACCTCAGCTGGTGGAATAGAATTGGAATTTCTTCTGTTGTTGTGGGGGGCATGGGGGTAGAGGAACTGATGGCCCAAGTCCATGTTGAGTGACTAAGTACAGGGCAGAGAGAACTCTGGCTTAGAGGAGCCCAGGCCATAGACCATAAGGGATCACTTCTTCTTTCCAAAGCCCCGACAGCCAGACAGGGACACAGGATGAGGCCACACCAAGATCCAATAACAGGTCTGGCAAAGTTTATTCCAACTGCCCCCTTTGAGATAAAACTGACCCCAGTGACTTCCCAGGACAAGTTAAACGTCATTATGCCTTCCCACTTTCCCCCTGCACTCAGGAGGTACCCAAAACAATCACCTCCCTTTCCAAGTTGGCTAGTTCCCAGCGGGGAGCTTGGGGGCTAACATTTATATAGAGCTCTAAGGTTTACACAGTGACGTATGTGTGTATACATATATATGTACACATACATACGTATATAATATAATCTTACCTTACCCTCACACCAACCCTGTTAGGTAGATACTATTATTCATTCTTTACAGATGAGGAAACTGAGGCAAACAGGGTGAAGTGACTTGCCTAGAGTCACAGAGCTAGCAAGCATCTGAGCCCAGATTTGAACTCAGTCAGCCAGCCAGTAAACATTTATTAAGTGCCTAATGTATGCCAGGCAGTGTGCTAAGTGCTAGGGAATACAAAGAAAGGCAAAGGGGAGCACAGAGTCCAATGAGGGAGACAAGTTTTAAACAAATATGTGCAAAGATGGAGTGGACAGAATCTTCTTGCCTTGGTACAAGCCCAGTGCTCCCTCTGCCACCTAGCTACTTCTAATTACTGAATAAATAGCTAGCACCTAATAAATGCCTTTTAATTTCATTCCTGCCTTCATTCTGTAGTTCCTGGGGATGAACCTGCACCCTCAGAGGCTCTGCCAATGCAGTACAATAGCCTCTGCCAATACTCCCTAAACAGGACATCTGAAAAGGGATTGATAATGACCTGGACACAAACAAGAATCTATAACTAGACCACTCTACCTTCCAGGAGGACCCTGAGGCTGGCCACTAAGGGGAGGGGGATCACATATAAGTGGGGAGGGGCTGGGGGCTAAGCGGCCCTTCCAAATCAATATTAATCTTAATGTCAATGTTAATGAAACCACAAATCCTGGAAGTGGTGTGCATATACACGTGAGTGCATGTGTGTGCAAGTGTGTTTGTGGCTGTATGTGTAATTCCTTCTGGATGGGGAACTCCTGGCATAGAAATTCCCTTTATAGATGCAGGTCAGCCAGTCATCTGTTGAACCATCTCTGGCAGTAGCCTTGGGCACAACCAGAAGATGTCAAAGCCAAGACTTCACATCAACACTCACTGATTCCAGGACTAGCCTGCTCTTCCTATGCCTCATGGCCTTTCCAGGGCAACACAGAAGCTAGTGTGTATTGGGTCGATACCCTGACTTCCTAGCTTTGGCCCCTTGCTCCCTGGACCATGGAAAGCAGCCATAGTGAAGAAGCCACTCCCTGATTCTGAGAGAAAACTCTTCCCAAAAGTCTCCACCCATGTTGCCAAGAGCCAGCAAGCCAATGGCCTTGCTCTTGGGCCAGAAGCCTCTGACCCAGCAAACACTGTTCTCAGGGTCATGGCTCTTCGTTGACCAGCAGATTTTACTCATGTCTATCCTCAGGGCTGCAGGTATGTCCCAATAGGGATGTTACACGTGAGCCCCTTCTCAAAGCCTCTTCCCAGGGCACCTACCCCCAAGGCACGTTGCTGATGATGGAATTTCATCCATTAGTAAAAGGCTAGCGGGGCATGATGTGGAGAGGCTACCTCCGCAGAGCACTGTCCTTCCTAGATGTGTCCTGGCCACTAATGAATGTTGTCAATATTTGTATCCCAGTGCTTAGCACAGTGCCTGGCACATTGTAGGCACTTCATAAATGTTTATTGACTGTTGGATGTCTAATATTTCACAGGATGAGAAGTCAAGAGAGGAGAGTGGAGAGAATGACGGGCCAGTAAATCAGGACCAAGTGGATTTACCTCCCAACCTGGAGGATGTGGCCCTAGGGGCTGCTCCAGCCTCTGTGTCCCCTGCAGTCAGCTCTGCAACCAAACCCAAGGTATCGGTGAGTTCCATATGATTGAAATTGTTCTCTTTAGCCTTGCCTTTAAAGCATGTGTGATTATCAGATGAGCACTAGGACCGACTTAGCTCCCTGAGGTCACACTACCCTGGAATGTGCCTTCGAAATGTCTAGCAGAGCCTGGGTGTCCCAGGCTGTACCCCTGCAGAGTCATCATGAGGCCTGACACCCACGTGGGGCTGGGTGATGCTAAGGAAGGGTGACAGAAGCTTGCTTCACTTCAGGTGAAGGGTTTTGTCAGTCTCAGGACAAGTTTCTATTGAGGTTCCCAACTGAGCTGAGGTCACTGGGAAGGAAGGTGAAAGGATGGAAGTCACCTAGATTTTTGTCCCATACTCAGAGGACATTTTGCAGTCACTATGGTTGGTGACTGCTCCTCCTCAGAGTATGTCTGCTTTCTAGTTAGCAGCAAGTGCAACATGCAAGTCCTGAGATGCTCCATCTCAAAGACCCACAGGTCGATGGGCAAAACCCCCAATCCAGAACCAGGCGTGCCAGGCTGCACAAAGCACTTAGATGGCAAAATGATGACACCGTCAATGGATGCTAGGGACATGGCCTATCCAAATGAAAGCCTATACCCTCCATCCCAAAACCAATTCCCTAGCTAAGCTGAGTATTTTTAAGGAAAAAAATAATCCTTTTAGAAATTTAAGCTCCATGGAAATGGACTATACAAAGAAGAGTTTGAAAAAAGTAAATTTTAAAATAAGCATGTCCTGAAACCCACAAAATCCAAGTTTATCAATGACTTCACAAACAAAAGATAATGGCCTTACCAGCCATTTACCCCCACCCAAAAGATGGGCTTCTTGGCCTTACCCCAAGAACATGCAAATTATCCTTCCTCCCACATCCTATGATGGCTTTCTTTTCTAGGGTCATGACAAGAACTCATTGCTACCATGTTAGTCTTTAATACACATCTAGAGCCCACGAAGGGACAGTTCTTTGGTTCTGTTTTCTTCCATCAGCTTCAGATAAGTCTTCCGATGTTTCTCTGAATTCTTCATAGCCATTGTTTCTTAGGGCAGCTAGGTGGCACAGTAGATAGAGCACTGGCCCTGGAGTCAGGAGGACCTGAGTTCAAATCTGGCCTCAGACACTAGCTGTGTGACCCTAGGCAAGTCATTTAATCCTGTTTGCCTCAGTTTCTCATCTGTAAAAATGAGCCAGAGAAGGGAATGGCAAACCACTGCAGTGTCTCTGCCAAGAAAACTCCAAGTGGGGTCACAGAAAGTTGGACATGATTGAAAGGACTGAACAACACCTATCATCCATCTTAACGTCTCTGTTCTCTGTCCTCACTCAAACTCTTGCCGAAGTTGTTGGACTTGCACACAAAACTCTGCGTGTGTGTGTGTGTGTGTGTGTGTGTGTGTGTGTGTGTATGTCCACATGCCCGTATGTGCATGGGGGTGTGGGAGGAGGACGCTGTTCTGTGTGAAATAAGTCACTTACGATAGTTTCTCATTGGAATTCTTGGTCATTATTTGCAAATTCGAGAGTTTGCTGGAGTAGATGTGAAGGAGCTGAGTTATCTGCATCCCATTCCAGTGGCTAGCTTAGCTAGAAGTCCCCTCTCTTGATTTTTCAGCAGCTTCCCCCCTGTCATCCTCTATTGTCTAAGCAATATTTTACACGTCCACCATCAAAGAATGCATCTTCTCGATCCCCCCTTCACCTTGTCTGGACCATTAGTAAGTACATGAATTTTTTGGCAGAGGAGTATTATTAATACCTTCATTCTGATTATTTATTTATGGTTACTTATTGTTTGTATATAATTAACATAATACATTCTATGATGTGCAATATGTAATATACACAATCATTCATATTATTACTATAAAATGTACTTCTTGTTTCTTTATACCTAAATAGGATTCTATTCTTTATGCCTTTTCTCCACCTGGCCTCATTCCCGTGGGTGTCTTTCAGCTGTGGTCAGAATGTCCTTGACGCTTGACCTTGTTGGCTTGCTGTAGGGCCTCTCTTGCCCACTGGTGGTTCAGTGGGGGAGCCATCTGGTCATCCTGGTCATTGTCATGCCTCTTCTCCCTGCCCATTGGCCCCTTAAAGAAAACTGCTGGTTCTACAGGTCACTGTCATCTTGCTTGCCCAATCCAACATTTCCAGGGCTTCCCCTTCCCCAGTCCATATGCCCCATATCCTGAGAGCAGCACAGATCATAATAGATCCTCAAGATTTGGCCTTCTCCTGGCTAATATTCATGATTAACCACTACCTCTCACCCCAGCCCTACCCGCAAAATACTTTCCTCCAATTCCTCAAGAGAATTTCAGGCCATGGATGTTTTGTTAATCTAGTTTTAAATAGTGATTAGTACTTGTGTCCTCCATTTCATATGTCCCTTGATTTCATATTGGACATCTCTAATGAATGATCATCATAATAATTGCTAACATTGTATAGCATATTAAAGTTTACAAAGTGTTTTAGATATTATCCCAAGTAATCTTCAAAATAACCTTGCAAGGGAGATACTATTATTATCCCCACTTTATGGGTGGGAAAGCTGAAGCTGAGAGAGTGATCGCCAAAGCGGAGACTAACTTTTGCCTTTCGTTGTATTCCTAGTGCTTAGCACAGTGCCTGGCACATAGTAGATGCTTAATAAATGTTTATTGACTGACTAAGTTATTTTGCCTAGAGTCACTTAGCTAGCACATGTCTGAGTCAGAATTCACCTCCAGGTCCTCCTGACTCCAGTCTAGCACCTCATCCCCTTTACCACCTAGGTGTTGAGATTAGTGTAGTCTCTCCATTAATCACCTGGAAGGCTTCCCAGGGCCCTGACAAGTGAAGTGACTTGTCCAATGTCACACAGGTCATAACTTACTGGTATTCATATCTAGGTCCTTTTCCTGACGGCAAAGATTCTTTCCCCATCACTGCATTCCAAACCACCTTCAAGATGCTCTCCTTATAAATGAGGCTATGGAGATTGACAGTCACAAGCTTCAGTGATCTGAATCTGACATTCCTCTCAGAAAGCATCCTGTGAATTCCACCAATCTGCAGTTTGTTCTTTACATCCTATTAGCCTTGGGAACTTTTTTTGCTAAATTCCTTGTAAAATGGTATTTGGATTCTTCCTTTCTTCACATTTTAGGGTAATCTATCTCTTAGCTCTGAAAATTGTAAAAAAAATTTTCCCCATCCCTTGATCTTGTTTTTATTATGTTTCTGTCTCTTTTTCTAATTGGCCAGAGAGCCTGAGAACTGTATTCCCCACTGAATTTTCTCTTTTATTCAAATTTCCCTGAGTTTGGTCACCTATGTGTCCTGCCCTGTTGTTACTCATTTTGGACATCTCATTACTGATACCAGGCCTCTTTAGTGATGCCAGGCGCTCCATCATTGACCTAAAAATATTTGTGGCCCAATTTGGCTGATCTTAGGGTACATCCACATTCTTTTCTTCAATGTCATTGACAGTACTTCATTGTTTTCTCCATCAAATGACTTCTCCTCAGGATCTTTTCATCCACAGCATTTGCCCTTCTATTAAAGGCTTTCCCCCCATCCCTTGTTGGCTTCTTTGTCCTTTCCTTTTCTTTATCTGAAAGACCATTCTCTTTGGAAGTCCTTTAATCATTACCCATATTTTCTTTCTCCTTATTTATTGTTGTTGTTTATTAATTAATCAAAACCTGGTGATTTAAGAGTTCATAAGAATCTCAGCAAGTTAAGGAGAAAAGTTTGTGATAGGGAACAAAAAAATTGTGCCAACCATGACAGCAAATTTGAAAAACAGCTCAGAGAAAGTATAGGTAGAATTCCATGGCCTAAAATTATTTTGAGGAATACAGTTCAAGAGGAAATGGAAGAGCTCAAGGACAAAATTCTGGAATCCCAGAGAGAAAGGGTCTTTAATGAGAACATAAGAAGTTATTTCAAAAGACTAATGTGGCTGCACAGGGACCTCTCCCACCAGTTTAAATCAAGCAAGGGCAAGTAATAGAGAACAAATTCAAAACAAACTGAGGGGGTGAGTAAATAGGCAGACTATAAGGGAATTGTTGTTTCATCTATACTCTAATGAAAAGGGGGATAATAACTATAACTGACATTTATTTAGTACTTATAATTCTGGAAACCATTGGACATGAATTATCCCACGCTGTGAGGTAGTTACCAAGCTAAACTAAGGCTCCAACTTCAGAGAGTTGGAGTCTTGCCCATGGTCCAGAGTTGGTTAGTGTCATAGGTGGGATTAGAACCCAGATCTTGCTGACTCCACATCTAGTACTCTCTCCACTGGGCTAGGCTGACTCTCCAAAGAAGAAGAAGGAGTGTTGCTCTTGGTGCTCTTAGTATCTCTTGGTGGATGGGATGATGATAAAGGGCAACATAGAGAAGGGAAGCCATTCGTTGTCATCCATGTTTTACCCAGGGACTGTTTGGACACCACGAGATGTGTTGACTGGGTAGTAAAAGGTGTGGGGCTCAACGCCACTTCCAAGCATGACATCTGTCCTTGATACAGCCAAGAGGACCTTTCTTAGTGAGATGTGGTCAGTGCTTCTCCACAGCTTATTAACAACTTGGAACATAATTCGAACTAAAATATGAAGTCAAAAGAAAGCTCCCAATCTTGCTATTCTCTGCTCATCAGTCAATGAAAGGGAATGTAATTGTCTCATTCCCAAGCAGCCCGCATCTTTCTAGCTCATAAAGCTTCCTTAGCTCCAACTCCCTTGAGGGTAAAACATTGGCTCCTAGTTCATAGTTTTCCTAGTGAATTAAGAATAAGGAATTGCCACAGAAGGAGGGGACAAAGAGATGTCCTGAAGAGAGAAAAGAGATAAAGGAGGTAAGAGAAGAGAAGGGAATGGAACTGTAGCAGGGACAGAAGCTAAAAGGACGAAAGAGCAGAGTGAAGGGAACTTCTGATGATCAGCCTTCCCATCCTCGTTGGACAGTGGGACCCCTAGACTGGCTGCAGGCTCAGAAAG